TCTTGGATCCGCATTGCTGGTCACTTTCTCCATTGCTGGCAGTTGCTGCAGCTCAGGATTTTAACTCTGGTGTTTGTCAGTAGCTTGGCTTACTTGTGGTTGACCACTCACTAGGCAAAGGTGATGCTGATTCAACAAGGGTGACTCATCAATTAACTACACGAAGGGCTGGCTTTTGGCTCACATGCATTTTCCTAAAATTTTTAGTCAAAGAAAAATACATTGACTCTGATATTACCCCAAACTCGTGCTCGTCTATGAAAAGACAAACAATAACAAAGAAACTGAAGAACATCTTTCAATGGTTTGATTCACCAGATAATTAGGACTGTTTCAAGTTATAAACACCAGTGCTTTCCAGTTTTAAAATCAAAATAGTTACGATTGTTTTAGGTACCGGGAAAGGGTCAAGTTGGTTTGTACTACTCTAAAACCAACTGCACCTTTTATTCCGCTCTTCAAATTGATCTTTTCTTCTTCCAGAGACTCCAATTTCAAAACTTACCTGTTTTGCTAGAAAACATTCATTGTTCTATTAATCAGCTTCTCACTGTCTTCATGAATAGGACGCATAAGAATTCGAGTTTGGTTCTCAGGGACAATCTGGCCCTGAGAAAACCTACAGTAAGCTCCAAGGTGATGGTGGTTGCCAGTCTGGCTCAGATTACAGTGAGCGAAGCTCCCCAACACCTTGTTGAACTGCAGTCTTCTAAGCACTGTATGCAATGATAGAGTCACCCAGTGAGCCTCAGAGAGGGAAAAATAACTTGTTGTTCCAGGAGTAAACAGAGGTGAGTGTGTGTCACAGAATGTCCAAGAGATAAAGACTAAATTTTATTTCAACTAAAATTAACTTCTTGTATGGGGGTATGTGTGTGTGTGCATGGGGGGGGGGGAGAAGGGAGGAATGTCCCTTAAATGGCACTCAGATCTACAACTCTCTTCACCCTCACCTTGCAGGATTACAAACAAATGTCAAGCAAGTCAAATTTAGCCTTTGGGATTTTGTTTTCACTCCTGTCAGCTCCAGTTCATAATGTGTTAAAGTGCAGAGCTCGTGTCTTGGTGTTCTAGCATTAAGTAAATAAGCAACAGCAAAAGCACACTACCAATCCAAAACAAATCCACAAAAAGACAAAAATCCACACCCCCTCTGTGCCCCAATCCAACTCTTGCTATGTCTTGTGTTTTTACATTAATTCTGCTTTCCTCACTCTACCTGACTCCTGGGCTGAACCAAGGTACCAGAAATGGTGGAGGCAGAGCCCTAGTCACTGTCAGGGGTTATAATACAATGTGAAGCCAGCAGGCGGCGGGCTGGTGGAAGACCAAAGAACACAGATGCGACATTTTTCAGTGTGCTTAGGAAACAGGACAGAAAAGCAGCACATGGCCTGGTGGTCAAGGGGAGTGTGGCACCAAACATGCGAAGTATATGTACACATAAAACAAGAGTCGACAGCAAAACCGTTCAGTCCTTTGTAGGTTGTCTGGTTAGAAAGAGCAGCATTCTGTTACTTCTTCTGCAAAGAGGGATTTGCACCCTCAGTCTCAGGCAATAAAATCCTGTTCCATTTGCTCCCGCACATGAGATCGCCCAAGTTGCTTTGAAACAAAATCCAGTACCTTATGATTTCTACGAACCACTTTTATGTGCATTTTAGTGTGCAGTCTTCTCTGTCTCCGAACAGACAAACTATAGAAACACATTTCATATATATAAATATATTATTTATTAAAAACATAAACAAGGGTATTTACTCCAGATTCTACAGTAAGAAGTGATTAAAATTGTATAAGTTTGTTTGAATCTGTGGAGGTTTCTACACAATAGGGTGTATACTAAGGGAAAAGAAAAATACTGCCATTCTGTAATCCAGAATTTTCAGTTCTCTGTCTTTGTTGAAAATAGAGAAGCTGTCGATTCACTCAGGTGACAAAGCACCGCTGTTTCTTCCTGCTCAGGAGGGGAAAGGAGGCGGCCCAGGAAGCACATGGCATCTCCACATTGGTCTGAGTCCTGCTGGGCCGCAGCACGTTTTCAAGATGAGGCTGGTGTTGTCTCAGAATGACCTGGGACATAGGTCCCGTGGCCGTCAAATGAAGTGCTGGCTGCCTTTCATGGAGGGGTCCAGGTTCTGCTCCCCTAGAATGCAGAGGCCAGTGAGTTCAAGCTCCTGCCCCCATGTCCCGTCCTCACCCACAGGGACCACCCTCAGAATGGCTGCAGGGACCTCACACAAGGGGCTCGTCCTAAAGGGACCCACTGGATCTGATTTATTATAGAGTCCAGTTCTGGAATTTACTCTGTACAAGGGAGAAAGCTGGCCCCAAGGTGAAGCTTCTAGGAAAAGTAAAGCACAGCAAGGCCCAAATTTAAAGTAAAAACTTATTATTTCTGGGCCCACATGCTAAGTAA